GGCTCGTGCCAGCAAGAAATGCGGCTGCAATCGCATATGCACCAATACAAACAGAGACATATGCACCAATAAAATAAAAGAAACGATAATTGAACGAATCAAAACCAATCGAAGAACAGGCGCATTCCTTCCAACGCGGCATTTTACACGCAATCGCGCAATGACCACGCAGCCAATCACTTTACTTCTAGCAAATGGGCGGATCAGTGGAAATGGTGGACCAATTGAGTTGGCACGTGTCCAATTCCCCCATAGCGGCTTTCTAAGGTGAGGTTTATATTTAGCGACACTTCTTAACCTCCCCTTCAAAAAGCGAGAAAGTGCAGACCAAACACCACAACTGACGACGGCCTCCAAGTAAATCTGGTTAGAAGTTGTTCATAGTGATAGCTGATTTCTGGTAAATGATAGTTGTAATTAGTGACAATCGATAGAATACAACTGCAACAGGCTAATCATTTCATTGGCAGAAAACATTAACATTTTGTGAAGGCCGTCGTCACTTGTGGTGCATGGTCTGCACCCGACACTTCTCGCTTTTTGAAGGGGAGGTGTTCTTGACTAGGGCTCACGCATGTTTTCGAGCCATAGTAGCAAAAGTATGATCCCGCTAGGGAGTTGTTCAACTAACGTTGCCATAATTCCATTTCAACCGGCGGTTCACAATGAGCTGTTGGCCTACGAAGGGTCAGGGTCAACCCTACGTTGTTACTAGTAACAACCGGGGGGGGGGGGGGGGCTCGGTACGTTTCGGTTGAGTTTGGTGGGAGGGGGTACTGGTTGAGGTCGTAGGGGGTCGCTACTAGTTGTGGAGCGGGTCCGTGCGCGCCGGACGAGAAAAAAAGTTTTAGTGCGTGTATATCCCCCCTTAGAAGATGAAGCAATGGGAAGATGGGTAAAAGTGGGTAAAAGGAAGAGTAAAATGGTGGAAATTTAGGGAGTTTAGGTAAATTTTTACTGTTTCAGAGTAGCTACCCCCCCGCTCGACGGCATTTTTGGAGGAAAAAGTGGGCGGAGTTTGGTGGGTTGAGTGGTACCAGAATTAAATACTATAGAGAGGATGATGGTGGTCGAGGTGTGGAAAAGGGGGTCGTATCAAGTCCACCTTGGGGGGGGTCGTAAAAAAAATTTTTGAAAAACGATAGGACCGACCTGCTCCAGGGTTTGTCTTCATTTTTTTCTGATTTTTGTTTTTTTAACATCTCAAAACCTTCGCTAACCTCTTTCAAAACATTAAAAACTCAAAGTGCTCTGAAATTGAACAAAATTTACCAATCGTCTGCCCGTTCCGCTTAATGAGAATGAGAATCCACAATTTCAAAGTATATTGTGATTCAATTACAACTGCATATGCATACAAAACACATTCATTTAACGAGAAAATGCTTAATGAGCTTCTAGCGATATTGAAACGTAGCAAAGAGCGGCACACAATGGATGCGAGAGGAGGGATTGGTTTGATGAGATGGTGTGGGTATGCGCGTGAGTATGTGTGAATTTCATAAGTTGCAATTTCCTCTTGTTGCTGAAAATTTTGCACTCTATTAGGCAGTGAAAATTATTCCAGCAATCAATCTAGAAGTTGCTTAGAGCAAAAACTTTAATATAGCCCCCCCTATGCCAGGTATAGCTCGGATAGTTGATTACAGCCCCCCGTTTTGCGGCCTATACTTAGCGCTCATTTTCTAGTCAAAATATAAGTCAGACTGTACATGTCAGCGGACTACCCTCGCACTGCTCGGCCTCTAAATTTAAATCTTTCGGTCCTCCACAATCTAATAGGTGGCGCAGAGATTTTCATGGTCGGCGAGGGATCTTCTCAAGCATATCTAGACCTTTTCTAGGCCTGCACAATTCGCTGTACAGGTCAAGTATGATCAGAGTTATTCCAAATGCCTCAACGATGCTGCAATAAGGGCGCGCGATAAACTGTGCTTGAGTAGCTTTTCAACGTGCTTCGCGGCTTTCCTCCGACAACGGCGATGAGTTGCGTGAATCTCTCAATTCGTGGTTCACCTTTAAAGGAAGCGATTACGATAAAGAGGGAGCGCATCGGGGAAGCATATGCACCACACGAATCAGTTACTTGGCTGCCAGGGAAGCGAGTGTAGCGCTTTCACGACGAAAGGTGCGCTGGTTGCTGAGCAGGACTTCGAAAGCACTCCGCCCCCAAAAGCGATCCGCCCACTAGTTTAGTTGGTGATTTGGACGAGCTGCGTTGCCAGCAGCGGCACAACTGGAGCAACTCGATTGGAGCGTGGTTTGGCATGGTGCCACCAAACGCGTTGCGTGAACTCGTTCATACGTCCGCTTTCTGAGCTGTTCATGAGTGAAAACCAACGGCCAAAAAGGGGGTCCCGTTTTGCGTTTTCTTGAACGGTTTCGCTTTTTTCGCTATTAGTGCCATTGAGCACCACCACGTCACACTGAACCCTTCTTGAATTTATCGCTATCGCTGCCTTAACACATTGTCGACAGAGCAGTGCATGCGCATCACACTTGAGCACCGTGTGGGACCGTGTGCAGCGCATGCGCTGCACACACAAATTAATTTTTTCGCGCATGCGCTACTTCTTTTCTAATTTTTTGCATCTATTCTATAGACCACACCATAACGTGACCATAAACGGTGTGGTTGACCGAATGGTTGAATATTCTTTACTTTAGCGAAGGTTTTCCAGCTCCTACAAGTTTTTTGGTTCGCTTCATTCCTCATTTTCCTTTATATTTCTTTCAACGAATATAATAAAGGAGTAGTAGAAGTAAGTACAGACCCACACATATAGCAAGATATATGTTTTAGTTGAGCAACCGCCTCGAAAATAATTCTGCGGCTCACAAGAGCGAAGCTAAAACGTAGTAGAGGTGGCAATGGTGCCGGAATGAAGAAAAAACATGAGGAACGGTCAGCCATGAAATGGAAACCCTTCCTAGGCCCTTTGATTTTCGCATTGATGTTAATATAGCCGTGCAGTTGTAGCTCGGATAGTTGATTACAGCTGTCATCGATGTTGTCTCAACACTAACGCTCTCTCTGCTAAACGGCTAGAGACCTGCGGCGAGTGGTTAGCCAGTCGGTGGGCGTGCCGCGTCGATAGCGCCGCGGGAGGGCCATGCTAGGTCGCCGGAGCATATCCTTCGCTGCAAATTGTGTGTCGGTCCGCACCTTCGGCCTTATCGTGGAATCCTACTTTGAAAACCTCCATTCTCTACCCCGGGATATAAATTACCAGGAATGGGGGATTGAATATTCAATATTTTGGTATTCGCAGTGTGTTGAAAAAAAAAACGTTTTTTCTGCTCAACGAGAAGCACGTGAACTCTCACAACAAAACACTGAACCTAAAAATCTATTCTAAAATTGACTAATTGGTCGCTTCCAGGTTCAAATCTGCTACATATAATTGCTGGCGGATAGAAAACGTCACCACACGTAAAATTGAATGGATAAAGCGCCTGTTACTGAAAGACTTCACCGAGCCGAAATAATGTGGAACTTCAATTCTAGGTCAGATTCATTTATCCTTTGATATTTGTCATTGGATAACTCCATTTGACCAAACGAACTGCTTGCAGCGTGGTTGTTTCCATTTAGCACTGTGAAAAATGAAAATTGCATGTTATTTTTTCTGAGAGTGGAAGATTGTTCAAAGGCTAACCCCGGGATTAGCCCGACTTGTGGGAAGGATACCGCGAGGGAAATTGTAAGGTCCCTACCTACCTAGATCACTCCAGCTTCGCCGCAAAATTGCGCGGTTAGGGCGCTAATCCTTACGGGCCTGCAACCATCGACCCCCGTTGCAACGCTTCCCACCCACCTCGATATCGGCGTGCTCTCTCGAACGGCGTGATCTCTCGCGTGTTTTGTCTTCTTTGACCGCCCTGCCTCGCCATCGTTCCACATCCGACCTTTTTGAAGGTTAAGGCCTTAATTTCAGCGATCCCAAAGATTTCTCTAGCTTTCCTTTCCACTTTCAGGCCGTCCCGCAGCTCAGTCATCATTACGAAGCGCTCTTATCACCGTTTTATCCCGGAGGCTTGCCTTTGAATATGTGTTTGTATATTAGGGCAGTTTCAACGACGCCGCCCTCAGACCGACTCGGCACGGAACAGCAAAGCCTTCGATCCTTATAGGGTCGGTAAGGTGAAACGGGAGCTATCTACCAAGTCAAAAACAGTGACCCATTCATCAGTAGCCCCGCTGTTTATTGAGAAGGTCAAATGCGAGCTTAGGTAGAGCCGCATGCTGCATGGAATGCTATGCATGCCATATCGCAAGTAAAAAGTGAAATACCCATAGTCCTACTAAACTTATATTTGTATTTGAATTACCCTAATTTCCGGTAAGCCCTACCCAATTTCACGTGAGAACACCTCTGTGCGTACATCTACACACCACCGTAACTTTGACCATAGTGATTAGTCGACGTCCTTACCAGAAGGACATTCATTTTTAGCGGTGGCGCCATCTGGCGCCAGTTGGCGTCACCTTGTCACGACCCTTGTTTTCACCAAATTTGGTGTAAACTTCCGTATAGGGGTTATTTGGTGTCCTGATTACGAATATGATATTCATTCTTGACGCCACTTTCTTATACTACTGCTATTGGACTCCTATTCCTGCTCGCCTACACCCTCTCACTGAACAGATCGGGAAATGTGCATTGAGCAACGCTAATACCGAAAACGAATGTCATTTCGTAATCAGGATCATCAAATAACCCCTATATAGAAGTTTACACCGAATTTGGTGAAAACAGGGTCGTGACAAAGTGACGCCAACTGGCGCCATTGGCACCACCACTAAAATGAATGTCCTAAAATTGCCCCTATGGCCAAAGTTGCGGTAGCCCGTAGGTGTATGAGCGGGGTGTTGTAACGTGACACTTGCTAAGACTTATCCACCGGAAATTAGGGTATTTGTGAACCCTTCGTGAAGCTGAGCATCTTCTGGACAATGTGATGATGCTGTGTTGGAATTGAAGTTGCTAAAATTGCTAATGAGTCGCGTACTCCATTCCAAACCCAAGCGAACGTGGGAGCAATATTTAGGGACATCTGAAGCCATATTTCTCAAAATAAACCATTAGAGGGCTCCGCATATGGACCAAAACCAACTAACCACAGATTTTCTTAGCATCTGTTGGCGATTTCCTATCAACAACTCTAAAATGAGATAGGCAGGAGTCAGGCTTAGTGGACCGAACCAATCCCTTTTGCCGTCTTTGTGCATGGCTACGCACCTACAGAGACGT